TTTAACCACACATTCTTCAATAAAATAATATTACACACAAATCTAAAACTTTTTATTATATTCTAATCACACATTCTCCATCAATCTATTATTTTAAAATACATTCTTAAAAAATAATGTGACTCAAACACACTCTTAAACCCTTTTGAGTAGCATTATTGAGAGAATGGAGATGTTGTTTGTACAAAACCAAAACTCACAAAAAAAATCACAAATCACTCACACTGGTGGGGCTTGGGTGATTTTCTGCCAATTTTTTAACAACAGCAGGGGTCTACACATTTGATTGTTTGACAAACTTATGTGAAATGAGTAGTGCGATGCAAATGACATTTTCCTTGAGAGAAATATGGGTAAAACCATTTGAAAAGGGCCACGTAGGCCCTGTTCAATCCTATAAGTGGGGGGCCAAGCAGCACAGTTCGAGAAATGTAGAGAGCGAAACCTTATGGATGAGGTAGGTTTGTACTGAATTAGTCTAAATATGACCTTACACTTTAATCATTAATCTCTTTCTTGACAATTTTGGCTACAGATTATAGGGTTTTCTAGAGTAGAATTTTGAATTTTACGAGGAGAATAGCAAATTTTCAAAACAATTCAATGCAAACGTGAGACTTTACTATCCGGGATTCTAAAGTTATTTATAAGAATAAGATTACATATATGCTTGCTTACATATATATAAAAAAGTATTATAGAGTTACCAATCAAAAAAAAAAAGTATTATGAAGTAAACGTATAAGTCAGTCCTTACAATTTAAAATGACTTTATATAGTTTACTCGATCATTTTCTTTTGTGTATGGACTAATTATTGTTGTTTTGAACAAGCTCTTGCACGGCAATAATTTTCTACTGAATTATAAGATGAAATGAAAACGAATGTATAAATTTACTTAAAGAGGTATTTCTTTTTATTTTGTTTAAGCTTCAGTTCTTTTTAGGGTAGATTAAAAAATAATTATTTCAAAGATGATAAAATTGAAAGAAATTTTTTTAAGTAGGGTCAAAAATCACTACTTTAGTGATTGAGAAATACAGCCCAAATTACACTAATGATTTTTAAACTATTGTCCCAAAAAAATTAACGAGCATGGATTTTTCCAACCTCTTATAGACAATGTTACCCAAAATCATTAAAATCAGTTAAAAAGCTGCCAAGCAAGCCCTTAGCTTTTGTTTGGTAAATTCATAAATGGTCTACAAACAAGAAAAATAAGAAAAAATATATAATATATAACACGAAATATGTAAATAATAATAGTAATAAATATATATTTGAAATTTATTTATATATCATTAATAAATTTCATTCTAAATGAAGGCTTGTTGAAGAACTTTGAAATGGAATCTCATATTAGATTCATCCATTATCTTAACAAGAAAGGGAAAAATAATAATAAAAAGCTGTATTGAGAGAAATAGAGAAAGATTGTTATATGTATATACATATCATGTTTTATGAAGATCATGGTTGATAATAAGTTTGAGCAAAAAAATCAAAAAATCTATCAAATAAATCAGATTGAACACACAAGTAATTGGTTTGGTTTTTTTTTTTAAAACAAAGTCATGGTGGGTCGATTCGGTCATGACTTGAAACCTCAAACCATTGATTAACTAGCTCAACCCAACCCAACCTACGTTTTTACCTTCTTTCTTTTTTCTTCTTTTTTTTTTTTAAGAAAATAAAAATCACAAGATAAGCCTTAATCTCAGAATAGTGCATCGATTCCCTCCAATCTATAATGTTGTCGGTAAATAATAGCACTGAAAATTTTATTTCACAAGCCATTTTTTTATATTTAGGCAGTCAGACCACATATTGAATAAAAAAATAAAAATCTTAAGTTTTCTATTAATCTATCTCTATTAACTTGATTATATTTGTTAGTCAATAATTCTTATAATATAAAGTTATTTAGTTATTTTAGTTCTTGTAATTTAAGCAGACCTAAAATTTGAACAATTTTTTTTAAAATTCAATTTGGAATAAAAATCCAAACTGACCAATCGAACCTAACCGAACCAAATCAAGGTTCGATTTAAGAGTTAGAGTGGGTTGGTTTTGATTAAAATTTACCAAAATCGACTAATTTAGTTTTAATTTCAAGTTGGACTCGAAGTCGACTAAAACCAAATCATGCCCAGACCTAATTGATAATGAGTTTGACACTTTTTTATGTGATAGCAATCTACATCATTGATTTTAAAAACATCTATTCTAACCAAATTTCTTTCTATGGAAATATCATCTTTGACCTCAATCAAGGATGTACATGTACATCTAGCTTAATTCATATACATGTACACATTTGACTTATATATGATATACGGCTGACGTGCGCTAATAATGACAGCTTCATAATTACAACTTCCAATTGTACGAGTAGAAGGTAGAGAAATTAAGCTATATATGTGGTTGCCCTTCAATCTCATAATTGGATATCAAGAGTTGACGGCAATTTTATGCATCAATTTTAGGCCCCATATCTTCCATTAGAACAAGTGAATTAAATTTCAATTTAAAATCGACATTTAATTTTATTAACAAACGTCGCAAGCTTAACAAATTTTCAATTATCTATTTCATCAATTTTCATCAAAATTTATTAAAAATTTAATTTTTATATAAATCAAATAGGGGCTAGATAATACTGTGAAATTTTAAGAAATTATTTTTTTTTTAAATTGAATTTCATCCTATTAGGAGACAAATTATTAAAAAAAAGACTATATAAAACAAATCGAGAAAATTTTTCGATTTCAAAATTATTATCTGATAGAAATCTTTATGTTTTATCTGATTGGGGAACACGGTTGATGTCTATATAAAATAAAATTTCTATAAGATAATAATTTTGAAATATAGAAAATTTATTAATTTAGAGGGATTATTGATTTATTGATAAATGACTAATTTTTTAATATATCAATATATTACGTGAAATCATTTCAAGTCAATGTTAAAGCACGTGATAGCTGCCGAGCACCTATAGATTTATCTTAGTGATAATGATACGATGATGGAATAATCTACTGATGAAGAGATTATTCAAGGGCTAATGGGTACACGATACAACTAATAAGAATGATCACGATTTAGATAATAACTAGGATTTACCAACCATTTCTTCAAAATATACATTTTAATGTCGTATCCTTAATATAATTACTTCCTATAATAATAATAATAATAATAATAATAATAATAATAATAATAATAATAATAATAATAATAATAATAATAATAAATGCATTGCATAAAAATTAGGAATGAAATTAAGTTCAGTTTGAGTTGGAAAAATTATTATGATGCAAAAATTAGGGATGCAAAAAAATTAGTGATGAAATTATTGTGAAAGTGTGTAATAAAAAATGAGTGAAAAAATAAAAACCAAAAAGGGCTAATTAAGCAATTATGCCCTTGTTTGATATCCACTATTTTATCATAATGAATTTTATAATATTGAACTTTTTGAGAACGTGTAATAAAAGTAGAAACAAGTTTTTAGTCTACGTACAAAATATTTTATTTTGAGAATATGGGATTGAAAATGATTTTAAAAAAAATTGAAATAATGAAAATCAAACATGGGCTAAAATTCATTTTATCTTCCAAATTTTAAAAGACATAAGGCAAAATATATGACCGTGACTTATATTTATTATTAACAAAACATCATCAAAATCATTTTTTTCCCTTCAATTAGAGCATGTTCAAGAAACTTTGTATTTATAAGAGCATTTTATGTATAATAGAAAACGTCTTTAATTTAGAAAGTACTTTTTTTTTTACTCTTCAATATTGTTCTCTATTTTGACCCTTCATTTTATCTTTTCAATAAATATTTGATTCGTCCTTATATTTTATTTTACATATTATTTTATATGTCAATGACCAATCAATTCAAATGAAATTAGATTAATTTGAAAAATAAAGTATTGAAATCTATAACTTAGTCATTACAAAGTAAAAATAAAAACTCAACCCTTATTTTAAATAATTAAAATAAACAGTATCATTGAATTTATTTGACTCTCTAAAATAGAGAGAATTGGATGCATATACATAGCATAACATGTCATGTCATCATCATTTTCTGCACAACAAGACCCGTTTAGCGACCGCGTAAACCCGGTTAAGTAGCGGGGGCCCATTCCTCACTATTCAGCCCAATTGCCTCACTGGGGACGCAATTGTCCTCATTTATTTAAAAATAAAAAATAAAAATAAAAAGTTAGTACAAGAGCCACGCCATGATTTTCAATAAAGCCCTTTTACAAGTGGTCCCCATAACTTCTATCCTCCTATAGTTCCTTGAAACGTGCCCCCTAGTCAAAAGTCAAACCCCCAACTTAGCCTTGCAAATATATAATCCACCATTATTTTTTAAATACATGATTTTGAGGGTTAATCATACAGGTGGCGGGACAGGTGTCTCTTTGGAAAGCTCCGGCAGCCGATTCGGCGGCTCAGTCGCCGGAATTAGACTGTTAGGAATCTGCACCTTGGTTGATATTTCCCCCTTTGGGACAATTAAAATATGAAAAAAGAGTCTTTATAATTATATTACATCAGAGCTTATTTAAAATATTCAGACAGGTTCTCAGGGACACTAAAGTATACGTAAATTACACGTAATATATAAGAAAATTGATAGAAAGTCTTCGATATTTTCCATGCAAGTATTGACTTTAAAGTTTTCCTTTAACAATATTATGTATACTTGTAATATTGATATTCAAAGTCTTTACTACAATAAATCCGTCTACCGATGCGCATGTTATTTAATTTACTCATTATTTTATATCTATCCATACAATAATTAGTGTCCACAACAAGAAATAATTTATGATTTTACGCCAAATAATGGAAATATCACAAGAAGCATGCAGCACAACCATGTACAGAATGAAGTTTCCTGGTTGGAAAATAGAAACAAATGCTTTTAAAAAATAAATTATACAAGAAACTAACAGAAGATTAAGTCCAAGTCAAGCACAGAGGATATGAAAAAACCTCTAATTAAGATAATTACACTGGTTTCTTAATGAAGTTGCATAAATTCATTTACGTCCATATCGAAATTCAACATGTTGCTGCCGTAACTCTCTCTCTCATCTCCATGACTTGTACTGCTGCTGTTGATATAAGTTGAATTTGGAGTTGGACTTGATGAAGGCGTTGATATATTCGACAAAATGGATTGGAAACTGAAAGTATTGCAGATATTAGATTGAAATGTTGAAGTCTGATCATCAGATGGAGGAGGATCTATGATGATGGGTTGATTGGACGGCCCATAGTAGTCGTAATTTGTGACTGTAGGTACATAATCTTCTGTCAAAAATCCACTGCTTTGCCATTCGTTCAGTGAGACATTTTGTGGGAAATTTTCACTGTCTGATTGCATCATGAGTTGGGATTGATCATCTTGAACTGGGGTTTGTAGTAATTGGCAAGGTTGGACTAATGAGGGCATCTGGTTTTGGACTTGATCATTAAAAATCTGATTTTCTTGAACATTTTTTTGTAGAGGAAAACCCTGGTTCTGGGATTGGAATGATGAGATAGAAGTAGCTAACCTTAGCAAATCAGGGTTTATAATATTCTGCATCCCTAATAATCTTGAGAAATTAAAATGGGATGCATTGTGGAGGGATGAGTTTAGAACAGTGGATAAATCAAGAAGATCCAGGCGAGGACTGTGAGTCACTGGATCAATTTCCATTCGAAGAAGCCTTTTTCTAATGTGGGTGTTCCAATAGTTTTTGATTTCATTATCTGTTCTTCCTGAAGACGAGCAGCAATTGCAGACCATCTATACAAGTGATTAAAAACTTGTCACTTTTTCAATTTCCATGTAACTTAATTAAAAGTTATACAGAACTGAATTTAAACTTGTTTCCCAATATACTATGCAGTTGAATTATTGTCTCTTCTTCTTCAAATGAAAATCTTCCCCTTTTGATATCAGGCCTTAGATAGTTAGCCCAACATAGACGGCAATTCTTTCCACACCTCTGAAGCCCTACAAAACAAAATTCAACAAAAACTGCTGATCGGCTTGAAACGCTCAACTATGCAAAACTCAAGTAGACATTTGGTACGTCAAAGTGCAAAGAATTCAAAAGAGAGAGAATGAAAAGTAAATTACCAGCACTCTTTGGAAGGTTTCGCCAGTTTCCATATCCATGTTTCTGTATAAAATCAATGAGTTTTTGATCTTCTTCAGGGGTCCAAGGGCCCTTCTTGAGTCCATTTTTATCACAACATGGTGCTCTTCCCATGGCCTGATAACTTCTGGTTGAAGGGTTCAGATAATTTATCAAAATTTCTGATCGAATTGGTGTAGATCCGTATGTGAATGTACAGGAACTTAGTATAGGTATGTATAAGGAGGGGATTAGGCTACATAGATGTCGAAGTAATTCGGTGCTGGCGACGTGTCCCCCGTTCTTAACATATGAATGTGATCTTAACTTTCTCTTACTCTCCCTAGAGGGAAAAAGTCAACCTCTTTCATTTTATGGTAGAATAAATGAAATAATTTTAGTTACACTAATTTTTATGTACGACAGAAAAAAAAAAAAAAGGTTTAAAGAAAGAACAGTGGTAAATAACATTTTACCCCTATTTGGTTTGAATTAAAATTAATAATTAATAATTAATTGTAACCACATATTTCATTGGACCAACAAATTTTTAATCACGAATTTCATCAACTTTTATAAAAAAATTTAATTTTCACCTAATAACAAGGGCTTAATGCGAGTTTAAAATCATTTTATAATTTACTTTCAACAAGTCTTTTAGTCAATTTTTTTTTAATTATGAAACTTGATCGTAAACTGTGAATGTATAAAATGTTAAGACTTAGTCCGAGTTTGATTTTGATTTTTCAAGAAGTAAATTTGTGTAGAATAATTTTTTTGAAGAATGTATAGTTAAATGTAAGAAAAAAATTATGATCTTATGTACAAAGTTATTTTATTGAAATAATGCATAATTGAAGATAAGTTTAAGAAAAATAATTTTGAAAAAAATCAAAATCAAATATAAATAGGGCTTAGTATCGAAATTTTACATTTTCTATATCTTTCTTCACATTATCCATCAAATATCATTTTCGCTCGAGGTGTATCTCCTTTCTTTCTGAATTCATATTCGCTGTCACCGATAATATAAGTCCACGTACCCCCCCCCGGGGTGGCCCTTAGACCTTCCTGATACGGATATCTCACGGCTTCTTTATCGTGTGCATGGCTTCAAAATCAAGCCGCATTATTGAGCCATGTAATGCGTTATATTATAAATAATTAATGTGCAAGTACATATTTTTTTAACATAATTGATATAGAAAAATAGCTGTTTTCTGCAATTTGTTGTTGTCAAATCTATTTTTGACAATAATCAATTACACGAAGACCAAGGACGGATGTTGGGGGGACTGAGCTGAGCTGTAGTCCCCCCCCCCCCCCCCCCCCCCCCCCCCCAAACATTCCCCCCCCCCCCCCCGGCCCAAGATATTTTTTTTTTAAAGGCATTTTTAATTTTTCTATAAAAACGGTTTTTTATGTGTAAAATTTTTTTTTCGCATATTAGCTTGGCTTGAAATTTAGTAGTCCGGTCTTGGATCCGTCCTTGATGAAGACAGATGTTTTTCTATACAAATTCTATAGAAAAAAATTTGTACTTATAGCATTGTTATATTATAAATACTATTTTGCCCCTGATTGATTTAAAATATATAAATTTATGAAATGTATGATTAAAATTAAAAATTAATTTTAAGTTAAATCTTAATCTATTTTTGTAGTTGAATCAAATAAGGACTTGGTCCCTCAACTTCGAGTACTGTAGCAATTATTGTTTCTCTTGACAAGGACAATATTGGATTGGAAGGGAAAAATCTAACCTAATACCCAAAAAAAAAAAAAAGAAAAGAAAAAAAAAGGAAAATTGTTTTGTGTTTAGCAGTTTAGGTGACTTGATACATATGATTATGTGTTCTGTTTTGGTAATTGGAAAGTTAACTTTTGTGTGAAAAGAATTTATAATAATTTAATTTTCCAATAAATAGAAATGAGCATGTGAATAAATAAATATTATTTGTGAATACATTGAAATTTATGATTAAAAATAAAATTTGATCATTCATAAATAATAAATAAATTTTGCCAAAAAGATACTTAGGTCGAATCTCCTCCTAATAGACGAAACTACTTCAAGTTTTTTTGAATAATGATATTTAACCACACTGAGGTTGCAAGCCCGGTTGAGGTGGTTTTAACGTGACGTTAATTAATAGGTAGAATTAAATAACTCGTTTAATTCCATTTTTCATTTAATCTATCATCTAAAGTTACTTAGATTGGGATTACAACTCCAGTAAAGCTACATAGCATTACTCTTCTTCTTTCTTTTTTATTTATTTTTATTTTTTTTAGAATAACTGCTATCAAGGCTACGACATATTTTTCCTTCTTTATCTGTTTTATTAGGAAACCGGCCGATAGTGTATATATATAGAGAGAGAACTTAAGGTGGTAATTTCTTCTTTTTCTCTCTTCTTTTTTAGCTTTTAATTTTAGTGCGTGGATCAGCATTAGATATGCTAAACTTTGCTTAGACGACTGCATTATATATACATAATATATGTTCAGTTATCAAAAACAATAATTTTATGATACTTAAAACTGTGAAAAGAAATACTATATATGATAAACAATAAGGAATTTGCTAGTCTTGGATAATTGTGACAAACAACCAAATAGTGATCGAATATTGGTAATTGTAATTTTACACTTATTCGAATCATCTAAAGTGGACGTTTTAGAATACTTTTATCGATTTGATAATTAATTCTACTTGAATATTAATAGTTTTAGGAGAAATTCGATGTTGAATAGCTTGTGAAGAAATGGAACAGAAAATCTAAACCTCTCATTTTTAGGAGAAATTCTACTTGCACATCTCTCACAATTTTCCCCTAATGAAATACGATCTTATGATCTTCTCGATGATCTCAACCTCTCAAGAGATGCCTCTTCAATCGTTAAATCTCTCCTGGATCCACACTTCCATTTGAATCTTCCACACATTTCCATAAATTCATCATATGTCAACAACATGAACAAATTTAGGGCATTGACCGAGATTCCACCTGGGATGGAACTTCAACTACGAACCAACAAAACATTGTCACTAAAGCTTCTTTTTCGTAAATACGTATAAAACTATTGTTTCCTTGAATTATTCAATTAATTAATGACAGCTTTATTATATGATATGTCTGTGCATATCATCAACTCCAAAATAACGTGTAAAAGTGTCTAATTCTCGCCCACCTTTACATTACATACTATTAAATATATATTTTGTAGGGTTCTTTCGGATACATGGCATCTTTTCCATTTTAACTAAACTTAAAACAAATATACATCCCTAATACAAAAGGATTAAGAGTAATCCGTAATCTTAGACTAATGTCCCCATGCTTGTTGTCAAGAAGACAACAGTATAATTCCATTATTGAAATCAAGCTTAATCAGTAGATTATTTATTCTTTAATAAGCAAATATTTGTTGAAAATCTGAAGTTTGCTTGAAATTAAAAAACAGATTAAGTTGCTTAAATTTCAAAGTTGACCAATGGACCTATAAATTTTTAGGTGGATTATGTGTTAGTTTTTGTTGTGAGCTGTTGGTTTACTCCAACAAACATTGAATAACTAATTACTTTTATCAATTGTTTTTACTTATAATTAGATTATGAGATGTTTTTAGATATCGAGATCCAAGGAATGTGTGGATAGTATGCCAGGTTGCTATTCTAAGCAATTGGATATACGCACATACGTATATATCTGTTTAAGGCATGCAATATATTGCGTCTTTGTATTTGAAAAGAATTTATAAACTCAAAATATATGTAACTTATTATTGACGGTCAACATAAAATCCTATAGAGATAAAGTCCTTGTCTTGTCTCAATTATTTTTAAAATACTTTTTTTTCTCTTATTTTCAATTATATATTTTTCAATAAAAAAATATTATAAGCAATTCAAAAAAATTTCTTATTTTTTAATTACACATTCTCCATCACAATATTATTCCCAAATGCATTTAGGAAAAATATGGGGCTTAAATAGGTTCTAAGAATAATTGTCTATATTTTATGCAATCCTACGGAATATTCTTTTTGTTGAATGCATTTTATTATTCGAAAATCGGGATATGTATATTTCGGGTCGTATGTGCAAATAGGTTTAAGGGCTCGTTTGGCATAGTTTTTATTTTTGTTTTTGCTTTTGCTTCTTATAGAAGATCTTTTGGAGGAAACTATCTTAATTTTCGTTTGAAAACTAAAATTTAAAAATGCTTTCTATTCTGAAAGTGCTTTTAGTGGAAGTTGCATTGAACCAGCTTTCTCTTAAAACTCTTTTAACTACCAAAAGCATTTTAACAAGATTAACCAAACGGGTTCAAAAGTAGTTTTTGAATCTCAAAAACTCTTTTTGACTTTTCAAAAGTCATTTCAAACGGCCTTAACTCTACTCAAAATAAATTGTTAGACAACTTAAGATTATTGTTTGGCAATTTAAGCATAATTTGGCTTGAAAGTAGGAATTTGAGAATTACAATGCATTAGAGTTCACAACTTTCATAACTGATTTCTCCTCTAAAAATTACTTTCGCACTTTGTTAAAAGACGTAGTAATAATTTAATTAGAATCATAGTTAATTTTGCATCTTAAAATGTTAATATTTGGAGTAGAAATTCCTGAATACTATCATATCTAGCTAATGCTAAAATTGTATTTGCAAATCTCTCACAAATAATTACCCTAACGAAGTACGAAGTTATAAATATCGGTAATCTCCACTTATCAAGAGATGGCCTATTCCATCGATAAACCTCTCACCATCTTGTTTAACTGGATCCACACATCCATTTCAATCTTCCACACATTTCCAAAAATTCATCTTATGTCAACATGAACAAATTTTAGGCATTGATGGTGGGAATATTCTTATTGTAAATCATCATTTACAAGTTCTTTTAAAGATTAATGAGACGGTAAAAAGAAAATGGGAAACTTTTTTTTTATTTGATTAGTGAAATTTAGACTCAATCAAACCTCACAACCTCATCCGTTGGTAAAAAATCTGTAAATTTTAATGTACATGTATCACAACTGTTGCGTTGATTGAGATGCACCAGAAATGGAACTTCAAGTATGAACAACAAAAACATTATCACATCTGTAAATATGTATAGAACTATTGTCTCTTTGAATTACTCAAGTAATTGATAACAACGTTATTAGATAATTAGGACACAATAACCCAAATTAAACCTTAATGACAACGTGATTAGATAATTAGGACACGCGTTAGCA